GAGGTGAGGGTGGGGCATTTGGAGGGGAGGGGGGGGGGCGAGGGAGGAAACAGACTTGGGGAAGATGGAGGGGGGAAGAGGGGATCCCATAGGGCCCCAAACCTTCCAAAATTATGCTCAACTTAGTAAATGATGCTACAATCGATGTGATCTTCCACTGATTTAGAAGGTGAAACTTCAAACTTTTAAGTTCTGGACCATCTGGCGGACGACTTCGGCACGCCCGCCGCGGCATCGGGTGGAGCAGCCTGGATCTTCACGGGTCTCCTTCTCCTGCATCGTCCGAAGCAAATCAGTCCCTCCGTGGGCCAGCGGCCATCTGGTTTTGTACGCTCTTCGGCCTGAAGGTCGAGGCACCCTTCGGGGAGGCTTGCGCCCGGAACATTTTGCTTAGCGTATCGCGCCTCTGGATTTGGCCCACCACGCTTCGTCGCGACACGCGAGTCACGTCCCGGTCCTCACGCGTCAACGTCCCGAGCCTTTCTCGGGGGCCCCCAAACGGCGTGGTGACCACACCGTGCGGTGAGTCGGTGGGGATTCGGGCTCACCGCACGGTTTTGGGACTCGAGTCGTTCTCCGAGGATGTATCGGTCGACAGGGGCTTCCAGGGTCCCAAGACCGTGCGGTGACGGACCGTGCGGTGAGGTCACGGGGGATTTCGAAGTCACCGCACGGTCTGTCACCGCACCGTTTCGGGACTCCAAACTTCCCCAGCCTCCCGCGACACGGCGCGGAGCAACACGCTATCCGCTTGCCTGGCATCGTGTGGCGCCGGGGCCGCCGCCGCGGCACGCTACGCAACAGTTCCTGACCGTTGAGCCTTCACGGAACAGGGTGTGAGAGAAGGTCGAATGAGGCGGGATTCTTACGCCTTGTTCGCTCCTCTGGTGCCGCCGCAGCGCGCTGGCACGCCGCGCGTCGACCTGCCGCCAGCGCGTCCCCGTTCGGGGCCGCGCGTCCGACCGCCTCGCCCTCCCCGCCCGCAGCGGGTTTGGCTCGAGCAGGTCGGCACGGAACAACCGCCGCGATGAGCTCGTCGAGTGGTGGGTCCAAGTATCCTCCCACCATCGCGGATGGGAGGTTTGAGATCACTGTCAAGCTCGGCGCCGGCTGCTTCGGGGAGGTCTACCGCGCCGTGGACGCGCAGACCAAGGACGAGGTGGCCATCAAGATCGAGCGCGTGAATGCGAGCTCCCCTCAGCTCGAGCGCGAGTCAGCAATGCTGAGCGCCCTAGCGCAGCCCGCCCTTCCGCAGGGCTTCCCCAAGATCCTGCACTTTGGCAGGGATGGCAAGTTCCTCTGCATGGTCCTGGAGCTGCTGGGGAAGACCATCGAGGATTACGTGCAGCTCTGCAACGGGCACCTCGCCGCTAGGAGCGTGGCGCTCGCTGCCGAGCAGGCGCTCTTGCGAGTGGAGTGCCCCCGCAGATGTTCATTGCCGCAAGCGTGTGCAGAGTTGGGCTGTAATAGAAGTTATATAACTAACATGTTGTCCTAGAATATGTAGTCACCATCTGGTTCTCACGGTGCTTCTTCCCTTCAGCATAGAATACATACATACTACTAGGCAAACGGAAACCACGTGTTCTGCGGAGGCGGCGACATGTTTACTTGGACCCGTCCGTCCACGCACAATCGCATTCGTTTTCTTTCAGTCTGCTTGATATGCACATGTTCACCTACACATGTCGCTTCGTGCGTCTAGCCAGAGGCGTTTTGAAATACACAGCAAATTTACTTGCTGCGCAATTAATTAGGTGTCACGTCACAACACATATGATACATGTGCCACGCCGCTTGTCATAAAGTTATTATTCACGCCGTCTGTAAACTGATATCCGCCGTGGGCCCCGAAAATGCGTGTGTTTCTAGCGATATGTACAAGGCGGAATATTTGTGGTGCAGTCTCTGTGGTGCAATCCATGTGGTGCAATTCATCTGGTGCAGTCTGTGTTGCGAAAGTTAAGTGGTGCGATATTTGTTGTGGAGCCTATGTGGTGCAATCTATGCTGTGCAATCTATGTGGTGCAATCAATGTGGTACAGTCTAGATGGTGCAATGTATGTGGTGCACTCGATGTGGCGGAATCGATGGCGGTGCAGTACTTGTTGTGTTATCTATATGGTACAACCCCCGTTCCACAATATATCTTGTGCAGTCTACGTAGTGCAATGTAGGTTGTGCAACACATGCTTTGCAATCTATATTGTGCAGTATGTGTAGAGCAACCTATGCGGTACAATCCAAGTGGTGCAACCCATGCGGTGCAAGTCGCCCTGCCGACATTGAAGTTGGCCTGTCACTGACACTGCCTGCGCAATTTATCCACCCACACGCAACTTGGTTTGCAAAACCCATGCGGCGGCGATTGCGAGGAGTACTTGGCGCTGGCTGGCGCATCTCTGCGGCCGCGCTGGCGCGCGCGCGCTCGCGCGCACAGCGGCCAGGTGGTTTGGCACAACCGACGCGCCCGCGGTGGCGCTGACCGCTGGCGACATCCCAGTGCGTCTCGCAGGCCGCGCTGACGCGCGGGCACTTCGATGCGAGTCGGTGACTCGGGCGGGCGCGGTATCATGGCGACGTCGGCAACGGCAGATTCGATGATGATAGTAATGAAGATGGTGACGGTGATGCAGATGACAACGGCAAGGGCAATGACGGTGCCGATGTTCGTCACGCCGACGACGATAATGGCGTCCACGTGTCAGCGTCAGTGGTGAAGGTGTTGTAAGGGTTTTGACGCGCGCGAACGTCCGACGCGAGCGAGTGGCCCGCATGATGTGATGTGACAGGGATCGTGCCACCCCCCAGCAGGCGCGCAAAGGCGTTCGGATTGTTTCGACATGCGCGCGCGGGAGGCCCGCGCCCGCTGTGGTCAAATTTGACGAACCTGTTGAAAACCCGGCGGGTTTCCCCACAAGAATTCGCAGGAATGCCCGCGCAGATGTTCGGAACAGCTGTGTTGCAGAACCACCCAAGGTTTTTTGAAGGATTTCTGCATGCGCGCGCGACGACGTGCGCGACTCGACTTTGATCCATTTGTTGCACAGGGCTAAGGATTGTTGGACATGTATAAGTTTGGATAACAGAGTGCGCGCGCATAGTATTTTTCAAGGGGGGCAATAACGGCCTGGCTGAGATGGTCGGAGCTAATTTTTCCAAATTAACTAACAGTGGAGCAAAGTCGTATGTAAGTTGTACAATCCCAGGGGGAGGCCGTAAAGCCGCGGGTGGTGGTAAGTATCTAGTACTGGCCTTGCGCCCATCCAGCCACCGTGCTTGGGTTGTGGATTAGAGGCCTCTTGGGTGTTCGTTTGGATATCGTGGGAGGCCTCTCGGGGGTCTCTTGGAGGCAGTTTTGAAACCTCTTGGGGGCTGTTTAGGGGCCTCTTGGGGCCTCTTTTTGCTGCCTTTGGGGGGCCTCGTGGGGCCTCTAGGAGACCTCTAGGGGACTTCGTGGGCTCTCTTGGGGGCCTCTTGGGCCTCCTGGGGGAGTCTTGGGCCGGAAGGCTCGAATTGTCGGTTCGTGTTCCCCCTCTTGGGCCCCTCTTGGGGCCGTCTTGGGGCCCTTTTTGTGCGATCTTGGGCGCCTCGTGAAGTGTGTTTCCTTATTGCTTGGGGCATGACGAGCGTCATGGCCCTTGCCCCCCCCTTATGACGTAACGCCCCCCCCACCCAGTGCGTTCCGAGCACTGCCGCCATGCGCATCGGGATCCGCATAGGTATCCGTTTAGGAATCCGCATGGGAGTCTGGTCCGCAGTTGTCGTCGTCGTCGTCGGCGTCGTCGTCGTCGTCGTCCTCGTCCTCGTCGTCGTTGTCCTCGTCGTCGTCGTCCTCGTCGTCGTCGTCGTGCTTGTCGCTCGTCGATCGTCGCTCATCGTCGTCGTGCGCGCGGACGCGGCTGGAGCTTGTTTTTTGATTCCAGGCCGACGACGGCAATCATCTGAGGAGGAGGTGGAGGGGGCCCATGACGTCACGTTTCACGCCGGCGGCGTCTGGTACAGGAGCAGCAGTATGTAGATGGCGATCTGCACCACAGCGCCTGTGTACACCATAGTGCCTGCGTGCACCACAGCCCCTGTGCACACAACGCCGCAAATCTACACCACAGCAGCCACGTGCAACACAGCGCCAGTGTGTGCCACAGCGCCTGCGGGCACCACAGCGCTTGTGTACACCACAGCGCCTGCGTACACCACATCAGTCGTGTGCAACACAGCACCAGTGTACACCACAATGCCTGCGTGCACTATAGCGCCTGTGTACACCACGGCGCCTGTGTGCACCACAGCAACCGTGTGCAACAGAGCAACGCTGTCGCATATAGCATTTCAGACGGAATCCTTATGACAAAATGGAGCGCTTGTGGATTCCACAGCAAAACACTGTTTTCTATTGGTTTTGGAAAGGAAGCCTTATGGAAAAAGGAGCGCCGCTGGAATCTACGAGTCCTCCCGAGTCCGCCCGCATCATCTTAATTTCTCCCATCTGCATCCAGGAGGCTCCAGCAAAATTGGCCGTCCGAGAACCAAGTTGAGTAATTAAATCGACCATTCTGCGGTGCACGCTGAGACGGCGCACGTGCGCTGTAGTGCCGACCCGCACGACAAGGGGAAGGGTGAGGGAGGAGGAGGAGGAGGAGGAAAAGGAAATGGAGGTGGAGGAGAAGGGAGGAGGAATAACGTCGCATTCTATTATCAGCATTTCCCTGGCGTGGAGTTTAGCTGTCCGCAGCAGATCCTAACATAAATGCTCCTTCTACCTGTCCTAAGCACGCAGGAACTGAAGTTTACACCAGCGCTGCGGTTCACGCGGATGCTGGGGTGTAGACAAGCGCTGTGGTGTGCACAGGCGCTGCAGTACACCCAAGCATTGTGGTGTACACAGGCGCTGTGTTGCACATGGTTGCTGCGGTGTACACATTCGTTGTGGTGTACACCGGCGCTGTGGTGCACGCAAGCACTGTAGTGTACAAAGGCGCTGCGTTGCAGACGGCTGTTGCTGTGTACGCAGGCGCTGTGGTGTACACGCGCGCTGTGGTGCACGCAAGCACTGTGGTGTACACGTGCGATGTGGGGCAGATCGCCACCTACATGCTGCTCGCGTCGTCGTCGTCGTCGTCGCACTTCGCTCGTCGCTTCTCGCTCATCGTCGTCGTGCGTGCGGTCGCGGCTGTGGTGCCGGACCCGCACGGCGGGGGGGGGGCGTTACGTAATACCCCCTTCCCCGCCGCCCCCCCCCATGACGCCCGTCATCGCCGAAAATAAAGAAACGCGCTTTTGGGCCGTTTTGGGGCCCTCTTGGATCGTCTTGGGGCCCTCTTGGGGGCCTCTCGGACCGTCTTTGGGCTGTCTTGGGGGCGCCTCTGGGGACATTCTGGTGCGTCGCAAGCGCGAAAACACGATATAACGAAAAGCAGAGATAAACACAAGGAACATCCAGGAATTTTGCCCCTTTGGGCCCTCTTCGGGGTCCTCTTGGAGCGCTCCTGGGGTTTCTTTGGGGCCTCTTGGGCCGTCTTGGGGCCACCTTGGGCGTTTTGGAGCGCTCTTGGGCGGTCTGGAAGGCATCTTGGATCCTCTGGGCGCTTCCTCGGGCCCTCTTGGCCCATCTTGGGGCCCCCTGGCTTCGGGAAAAGTCCTGCGGGGCAGCCCAGGAACGCGCGGGAACGCCCAGGAATTTTTGGAATCTGGGGCCCCAGTCCTTAGAATACTATAACGCCAGAGTCCTGAGCACAGAGAGCAGAGGACACACGAGGTCCTGAGGACGCTCCACTTCGTGCCTCGAGGCACGGTGGCGGATTGATCTTTTTCTAGGAAGTAGAATCTATATCGGGCGGCGACGAGGTGGCGACGGGGCGGCGATGGCGGCAACATAGCCGCCAGACCGACGCACAGCCCCAGACGTCGGGCGGCGACGAGGCGCCGACGGCGAGTTGCACAGCCTCCAAGCCGGCCCGCAGGCTCAGACGACGAGCGGCGGCGACGACATAGCCGCCAGACCGGCCCGCAGGCCCCATCTCTGCCTTCCAGAAGCAAGAGCCCCTGAGTGCGAGCACGGCCTGGCGAACGAACCTGTCGCTCGCCAGCTTGTCCCGTCACTTGCGATCGAGTCTCTGGCGCGCCTGGCACCTTGCCAGCAGGCCACGAGGGCGGCGGATCGGGGTGGCCTTCGGCCTCTCCTGCCACCGCGGGCCCGGGGTCCTGCCTGGGGCACCCCCATGGGATGCCCCGCGGCAGGTGCCGGGAGGCCTCCGCGGAGGGCCGCCCTGGGCGGGGCAGGTCGAGGACCTGGCCGAGCGCGGCTCCGGCCAGAAGTTTACGAGGAGGCTCTGGGATCGGGGGCCTCCCCTCCCTCCGCCTAATTCGAGCTTCGCGCGGCCCGCTTAGCTTGGACCGGAAGAGGTGCGCTCTCAACCCGCGGATCAAAAAACTGTGGGATCGGGGGCCTGGGCCCCTGAGAGCACACAGTCCTTCTGCCACCCGCAGCTGCATGGGTCTCGGGGCACCCCACGACGTGCTCAAGGCACGGCGTCTCGGATTTAGAGAAGCGTACTTGGTGGGTTTGGGGTCATGAACTGGGTCAGACAGACTGTGCATCCAGGGCCCAGCCTGCCGCCTCGACAACGATGCGAATCAACAGGTCCAGCTGTCAGGTAAAGTTGGGTTTCCAACACAAACGACAATGATTTGGAGGGGTACTGATACAAGGCGGCAGCTTCATAGCGTGCACGTGTTAACAAGATCGAGGATGCAGACGTTGATGACCAAGCATGGCCGCTCAATACATACATCATGCATAAGCTTCACACTAATTCTCTGAAATCCGTTAACTAAGACATGAAAACCTAGAGGTACTTGCACTCCAAGGGCATCGTGCACCGTGACATTAAACCAGAGAATCTCATGTTTGGCACCGGTTCAAGGCAGCATCACCTGTACCTGATCGATTTCGGCCTGAGCAAGAGATATTACGACAGAAGGCACATCCGCATGAACACTAATCTTTCTCTTACGGGGACGGCCCGCTACGCGTCCATTAACGCGCACCGCGGAGCCGAGCAGAGCCGACGGGACGACCTCGAGGCTCTCGGCCACATGTTCCTCTACCTGCTCAGGGGCTCGCTCCCGTGGTCTGGGCTGAACGCCAAGGACAGGGAAGAGAAGTTCCGAAAGATCCAGGAGGTGAAGGAGAGAACCCCTCTTAGCGACCTCTGCCTGGGCTATCCCGACGCCTTCGAGCGCTACCTGCGGTACTGCCGCACCCTCGGGTTCAGGCAGCGGCCCGACTACGCAATGCTGCGGGGGCTTTTTAGCGAGCTGAGAGGCAGCATATCCCAGCAGGAAGACTGCCAGCTCCAGGACCACGAGTTCGAGTGGAACGCCGGGAAGGAGCTGGATGGCCTCGAGCCGCTTGCGCCCGCGCCCTGCCTCGCCCAGCCAGACGACGGCGAGGCCTCGCATCTTCCGCGCGCGTTCCGTTGTTTCTGTGGCCTCTAGGTGGCGGCCGAAGGGTCGGCCACCTCCGAGGCGGCGTCCGTCACCTCCTGCGACATCTCACATGCACTCGGCGGCGAGCCAGGGGGGGGGGAGGGAAAGCGAAAGGGGGCAGGCCTCCTCAGGAGCCGGCGGGGCTTCTCAGAAGCCCTTGCGCCTTCTGAGAAGCTCCGGGAAGCCGTCTGCGAAGCCACGGGCAGCTTCTCGGAGGGCGCGAGGGCGTCTGAAAAGCCCCGCCGCCCTCTGAGAAGGCCTACCTACCCCCTCTCACTTCCCCCTGGTCTCCCCGCCGAGACACGGTTGTCGATAGCTGTGCAAGCTGAAGTTGCCCATGTATTAAGGGGCGCTCCGCGGTGCGGATTCCAGATGTGGTTGCTGCGTCTCTTGAGCGTTGCGAGCCAAAGGGTTTTGCAAGTGTGTGCCAGTGGTGGTTGATTGAGCCGTCTCGCCGGGATGTTCGATTATTTTCGTTCCCAGGCGCACGCTTCCGACTTGTCGGACGCGTCACAGGTACAGCGAGCAAAGAACATTTAGCTGTCGTAGTGGTCACAGCGGGGAGGAGAAGGATGATGTCGAGGAGGAGGTGGAGGAGGAGGAGAAAGAGCAGGATGCTGACAGATAAGGAAGGTGATGCTGATGCTCTTGGTTGTTCTTGATGCCAGCGTCGATGATGGTGGTGCTTTCGATGCCTGCTGCTGCTTCCGGGGGCGGCGGGAGGGAGGATGCGGCGAGGGAGGATCAGGAGGGGAAAAAACACAGACACCATTCATCGTCGATCTCCCCAGAAAACATGGGAAAATGCGGGAAGAGGGGGGGAAGACGAGAATCCCAACAATATGGAAAGAGATGGGGAGTCCTGGATTTTTTGTTTTTTTTTGTGTGTATGTGTGTGTGTGTGTGTGTGTGTGTGTGTGTGTGTGTGTGTGTGTGTGTGTGTGTGTGTGTGTGTGTGTCAATCTTCGTGTGCCCCAGGGCCCCATTGAGAGGAGCACGCGCCCCATTGGAGCAGCAGCCAGGCGCCGCCCACCTCGAGCGGGCCCGCGGTCCCCCGCACCCTCCCCCGCGGCGCCGCTCGCTCCCGCCCTCTCCCTCTGAAGCAGCCCGCCCTCGACGGAGTGGGGCACATCGGGATGTCAGCGGCTGCCCCCTCCCTCCTCCCTCCTCCTCCTCTCCTCCTCCTCCTCCCTCCTCCTCCTCCTCCTCCTCCTCCTCTCCTCCTCCTCCTCCTCCTCCTCCTCCTCCTCCTCCTCCTCCTCCTCCTCCTCCTCCTCCTCCTCCTCCTCCTCCTCCTCCTCCTCCTCCTCCTCCTCCTCCTCCTCCTCCTCCTCCTCCTCCTCCTCCTCCTCCTCGCAGCCGCGACCGCGAGGCGCTCGTTCGCGCGCGGCCCCGCTTCGGAGAGCTTGGCGACCCGGCCGTCTCGGTGCGCCCGCTTTGAAACGCCGCACCCGCCGTGCTCAGCACGTCCGCGCCACTGCGCAGCGCGTCGGCTCGGCACGCGCCCGCCCACGTCTTGGCGAACGCGTCGCGTCAGGCCTACGTGTTCGGTCTGCAGCGCGTCGGCTCGGCACGCGCCCGCCCACGTCTTGGCGAACGCGTCGCGTCAGGCCTACGTGTTCGGTCTGCGTGTTGAGCTCCGCATCGATACGCTGCGCATGGCGTGTTGCGTATACTGGGGCAGCCAAGCCTGGCGAAGCAGCAGCGTGTCGTTGCTTCCTGTCTCCTCCGGGGTCGGGCACGGTCGAATCGAGGTATAAGGTCGAGGCAAGTTCGGGGAGGGTGCCCTCATCTTATTCGTGTTTGTTGGCTGTTCTTGTGCATCCTGAGGGATGGGTACGTACGCGCGAACGTTCTTCAGTTTGGCCGGTGGAAGGTCTCATGTTCTTGAAGGATGTTGTTACGTTCTAGGTCTGGCCGCAATGCGTGCTGCTCCTCAGCTCCCACTCTGTGACGGCAACGCCGTGAAGCTGTTGGAACGGAGCTATCGGCTCCATTTGTGCAGGTGCGGTCGCCGTCGCCGCCGCCGTCGTGGCCCTCGTCGCTGTCGCCACCGCCGTCACCACCGTCGTCGCCCGCGTCGCCTCGGCCGCCATCGCCGTCCCCCTAGATCTGACGTTGCGAAAAATGCGGCATCGCAGGAAATCACGACCAGAGCCCCAGGCCCCATCTTTCTGCTGCATTTTTCGAGGCGGATCGATCTGTGATGGACCCTGGGCCTCAGATCGGGCGAAACGCCTGGTTTGGGGACACCGCAGCGCTCAGATCTCAGGATCATCATCGCCGCCAAGGAAATCCCTCAGCCCACGAGGCCGTCGAGGGGCCTCGCGGATGCGCAGAGGAGGCAAACCCTTTCCCGAACCTCAAATCGCAAACCTTGAGTGTCGGACCTCGAGCATGGAGCCTGGAACTTCGATCCTCGAACCTCGATCCTCGAACATCGAGCGTCGATCCTCGAACCTCAAATCTCGATCCTCGAGCATCGATTCCCGAACATCGATCCTCGACCATCGATCCTCGACCGCCCTCGTTCGTGTACACACGAAAGCTTGCCCGCGTTGCAGACCTGCGCGCCGCCGCGATGGTTATTGGCAGGCTGTGCTCCTAGCTGCCCTGAGACGCCCGTTTTGCAACGCAATGCGCACCGTGTTCACAACGTCCGTCTCAACACACGCCGCTTGCTGGCTCAGCACGTGCTCGCCCAAGTGTTGGCGAGCACGGCCGACCTGCGTTTTCGGTCTGCCTGTTGAGCTCCGTGTCTCCACGCGCTGCGTGTCGCGTGTTGCATGTCGGGGCAGCTGGGGCTGTGCTCTCCCCGGCGAAGGAGAAGAGGAGGGGAGAAGCCGGCAAACGACGGCGAGCGCGCAGGCGGGAGGCCAGGGCCAGCGAGGCGGGTGGACAGGGGGGGGCTGGGCGAAGATCGCAGGCAGGGACCAGGAGGAAAGGGAGGAACGCGAGGAGGAGGAGAAAGAGGAGGAGGAGAGGGGGGGGGAGGAGGACGGGGAGCCAAAGGTCCGCAGCTCGAAGCACGGAGGAGGAGGAGGAGGAGCAGGAGGAGGAGCAGGAGGAGAACTGAACGGCAGCGTCCGACAGGTGTTGAAACAATTTAGCAACACTCACGCGAAACGTATGGTTTGAACTCCTCCCCGTCCCCCCGAATGCAATGTCGGTATATGTTGGTTTCGGATCTTCCGAGTTCGAGTGCCCGAGCGGTGTTGCCTAACCGATGCCGGCAGCGACAGCGACAGCGACAGGAGGAGGCTGGCCAGGGCCGCTCCTCGGCCTGGCGCCCGCTGAAGCCGCGCCGCGTGCCAGGCCACGCCGGAGCAGGCGGAGGACCTTCTGGGCGCCGTGCAGGAGCTCGTGGCCTCCCAGGCCGCCAGGGAGGCGCCGCCGGCCACCGAGGAGGGTCAGGAGCAATGCTGGGGCAGGGGAGGCATCGAAGTTCGCATTCGAGGCTCGAAGCTCCTCCTCCTCCTCCTCCTCCTCCTCCTCCTCCTCCTCCTTCCTCCTCCTCTTCTTACTCCTCCTCCTGCTCCTCCTCCTTCTCCTCCTCCCTCCTCCTCCTTCTCCTCCTCCTCCTCCTCCTCCTCCTCCTCCTCCTCCCTCTCCCTCCTCCTCCTCCTCCTCCTCCTCCTTCCTACTCCTCCTCCTCCTCCTCCTCCTCCTCCTCCCCTCCTCCTCCTCCTCCTCCTCCTCCTCCTCCTCCTCCTCCTCCTCCTCCTCCTCCTCCTCCTTCTCCGAGAGAGAGAGAGAGAGACATGGCGAGAGACATCTCCAGATTTCGCTGTTTGGGCGAGCGCGCTGTGATCTGGACAGAGCCCTGCTCGGATTGTATTGTAGCACGACGTCCTGCCCCCCCCCCCCGCAACCCTTTTCAAGCCAAGGCATCACCGTTCACCGTTCACCGTTCCTGCTCATCCTCCCCCACCCCTCTTCGAGGTTCGAGTTTCGAGGTTTTCGGCCGTTTTTGTCGGTTCTCGGCGGTTTTCCAGCCTCGGGATGCTCTCCAGCGGGTGCGCCCTGCCGAGGGCGTTCCGGGGGTGCCCAGATCGTCCCGAACGGCTGCCGCAGAGCCGAGTTGTGCCCCGAAAGCCACGGAGCAATTCTACGGGGGGAGGGGCTCAGGGAGGAACGCATCGACCCCCGATCGGCCATCGATAGCCCGCCCCGCCCAGGACCGTGCAGATTCGCAATCGGGGGCCTATCGCCAATCTATCGGCGGCGTATCGCCGATTCCAGGTCGGTGCTTCCCCCCTGAGCTGGTCTCCCCGTATCGTTCCCCCTCAGAGAAGGGGGGGGTCAAAGCAAGGTCGTCAGGGACACCAGGAGCCCGTGCGATTGGCAGGAGTCTTTCCTGATCGTGGCCCCAGCAGAACCTGCCGAGGACGTACAAGCCCAATGTCTCAAACCGCTACTCTCCGAGTCAAAGAAGAGTTGCTAGAGGCACCGCGAGCCCGTGCGATTGGAAATGGCCACTCCTGGTCATTTGCCCCAGCAGAACCTGCCGAGGCCGTGCAAGCTCACTGTCTCAAACCGCCTCTCTCCGAGAGGGGCAGGGGGGGAGAGGAACGCCTTGCAGCGCGGACGGAACGAGAGGCCAGCCGGGTTCTGCGAGCGGCGCCTCCGTCGGCAGATTCGGCCGCGCCCCTGGCGCTCGCCGCGTCGCGTCGCCAAGGGCGGAAAAGGGCGCCCGCAGTTCCAGCGCGAGCCCGACTGGTGGCCAGCCTTGCCGCGCGCCCAGATGGGGCGTTCCAAAAATGGCCTTGCCTTCGAGGATCGAAGGAGTTGTCATATCTTCCGCAGCGGAAGGCGGCGGAAGGTCGGCGGAAGTAAAGCAAGTCCGCCTCCGCCGGCAGAAGCCGGCGGAAGGCCGGCGGGAGGCGGCGGAAGTGAAAAACGTGCCCCCAAAGAGGTGAGCACGCTTTTTGGGTCCAGGGTTGTCCGAGATCGCCCAGGCAGACAGTGCGCCCAGGGGCACGGGCGCGCGCGCGCGGCGGGCCACGACC